AAAATATTTTTAAAAAAAATTTTTTTTGTTAAAAAAAATTTTTTCCAAATTTTAAAAAAAAAAAAAAAAAAAAAAAAAAAAAGAGCTTCCCTAAGCACATGTTTTTCTGTTTTTGTTAAATCATTTCTATTTGTAAACTTGCAGTCTTTCAAAATGCTTCATGTTAAATTGACTTATAATTTATAGTATTTACATTTTTAGATTAAATTAACCGCAGTCAAACACCAACACATGGAGCTTAATAAAGCTCAACTAAATTAGATATCTTTTTGCTCATGTTGCAGACTCAGTGTGGGTATAAAAGGTGTTGCATTTTTTTTAAATTTACAATTTCATCACAAGGGAGTTATGTTGTTTGCCAGAACTTTATGGTGTCTGTAATACAAACGTCAACATAAATTTATCCACATGTGAGGCAATGATAAGGAAACCCTCATGTATAAATGAATGTGCAGATTGGATAATGTAGAGAACTGCATAATTAATGCACTGCTAAATCCCACCAAAAGCTGCATGCATACTTTAGAGACAGTCTCGAGTGGAGACTGCACATTTAATGAGGCTGAAATCCTATAAATGCAATGCTTATGTTGTGGCCCTGAGTGCGTAAGCAATTTCTTTTCAACTTAAATCAACTAACTAATTTATAAGTGCAGACCATTTAAAAAAAAAAAAAAAAAGTGTCAACATTTGAGAATATTTTGATCGTGTTTTCCACTCATCCGTCTCACATGTGTAGAAGATATGCTCCCCTTTTAATTAATCCAGCTGTCTGCAGGCGCCATGGCAGCACGCATTTTAACCATGCTTTACACAAGGAAACATAACCTGTAGAGCTTTCTTTTAATGCCTCACGGTTCTTTTTTTCCGCATTTTAAAGCAGGCCTGCGGTGATTGAGTGCTGTGGTCAGACTGCTTCCAAAACACAGGAGACGTGCAACCTAATATCGTTCCTGAACACTTCCCATGCGAAAGCACAATATATGAAGATGCAGAGTCAGAATGGCCTGCTCAAAGTTCATGAATGTTGTTCACGTTGTGTGTGACCACCAACTGCATGCACAATTGCATACATAGTACATTTATCAGTTTAAATAGGTGTGTAGGAAAAGGCATTTCTTATGCCAGCCTACATCTTTGACTGCCTGTCAAAGATGTGTATGTATGTATATATATATACATATATATATATATATATATACACACACACACATACAACCATTCTACCATTCCAAGCACAAGAGATAATGTTAAAGATGTAGTAAATCTGTCAGTGTGATGGGCTTAGTGCATTTGCAAGTGCCATTGACATTTTACATCGCACTCATCTTATGCATGCAATGAACCATGGAAGCATCAAATGAGGAGTGTTAAACGATGCACATCACTTACAGCCTGCAGTTATTAACTGATTGTAAATAGTGGCTCTGTAAGAATTGAGCTATAAGTAAACAAAGGGGAATTCTCAGGATGAGTTTTGCATTAAGCATACAGATTCTGTCTGCAAGAGGACCGAAATGCATCCGCTCGGGGAACAGGACCGCAAATATGACTGATAGCACAAAAGGTTGATACATTTTTCATCGTGCTCCTCATTGCTTACTTCCTATTGTTAGCAGATGGCTGCTTTTGGTGGAGATATCAATTTTCCTTGTCATTAAATTTAGCTTATCTTGAGAACTGAAGGGTGAGGTAATTTTTTTTTGTCTCTAACCTTGACAGACAAATTGAATAAGGAAACTTTAATATCTGCCACATAAAATAATGCTGCCTGGTGATGGACAGGCACCAGGGTTTACTCATCACTCAGCCAGTGACTGCTGCAGAAATGTACCATCCCACTGCATGACACTGCAATCATGGGGTATGGTCTAGAACACTGTATAGTTAACTGGTGGGTGGATAAAATAATCTAACAGTAGACAACAAAATGTCTTAAAATTATTAAATGGACTGAAGTATAAAATACATTACAACACTGTCAAAACAGTTATGCCCATTTGTGGGCAAAGCTGTTGAAATATCACACAAGTCATACACACAAGTTCACATTTTCATTTTTCTCATTACCTCTGAAGGAGTCATACAAATAAACAGTTGTGTTAATTGGACGGTCATGAAACACATTTTCTGACAATGACATGTACAGAAGGAATGATGTAATCATATTCTAACGTAGCAGGATATTTAACATTCATTGACCTACACACATTAAACATATATTACTTAGGCAAGCAAAGTTACAGAATCGCTCAGAGCAGAAAGAGCATTTACCATTATTCTGCTTGAGCACACTCTGACTGGCTCAGGCTGGGGCCAGTGGGGCAGGAAGCTCTGTACACACTGAAGTCTGATGGCTGTCGGCATAAAACAGCGCTTGAAGTCCTCTGTGCTTCAGCTGGGAAGAAGTGGCTTTGTAACAGGTCGACATACACCACAGGGGGCGGCAGGTTTGTTGTTTGGTGTGAAGCAAACGATTCTGGATTCAGCACTGATGACACATACTTCCCTCTTGGCTTGCCTTTAAATAACACACAAAAAACCCCTGGCATATCTGACATCAGCATATTGGTCAAAAGTGGGCCTTTCGCCAGGAGCCACCTGCAGAAGTGACACACGATTTAGATGAGATTCAGCAACAAACGGGGATGATTCAAACGAAAATTTCCAGGAAACTGGGTTTTTGGTCAGCCTCCCTCATATTAAAGAGTCTGAGCTTCGGGGTTAGCAATGTTATTCTTTCATTTCTGTGACAGCAAATGTAGGACAGATTATTAATTAAGCATTCTAACAAATAGTGACAATGATTTAAAGTCTGTAGTATTACACTGTTCCATTACAGTCTGTCTTGGAAAGTACAGCCATGAAGCACACTGGTTCAAATGCTTTGTCATTGTAGTAAACACTAGGCACTCGTATTTGAGTCCGTACCGTGTACACGGGCTTTCAAAATTGGATGCAAGACTCACTGTGATTATGAAAAATCTCTTCTCACTAGCAGAGACTGAATTGAAGCTATTCATATTCACATCTATAATGACAAAAAACAAAAGCAAAAAACAACCAAAGATCAACAGCAGCAAAAATGACAGTGGCATCATCATGTAGATAGTGTTTTTTTTGGTAATGGTCAATGTTGTTTGTTTGCACTTCATGTAATAGATATTAGATGTGTAATGACAAAATATTGTTATACTTTATATTTCTGTAATTTGATGTTTTTGCTTTTTTTTAAAAAAAAATCTTAATTTTCATGTTTTGTCTTTGTTAAGCACTCAGATCTTTTTTGTGAAAGTTGCTAAAAATAAATTGAATTTACTGAAAATAAATGTAATATTATTTGAACAAGAGGTTATTGCAACTTTTGCATTTCTGTCACTTTGCTTGCCTGGGCAGATTTATTAATTTACAAGTTAACTTGAACAGCACATCTGCGGCATTAAGGGACAAAGTAATTTTTTAAATGATCTGCAATGGCCTCATTCTTTTACATCACTAAAAGCAGATATTTTAACAGGCGTACACTTTTGAGCATCATGATATATGCTGTGCCATATATGCCACAAAATATTCTTTCTGAAAACAGTCTGTAAAAAATATGTTGTGTTTGACTTATGTTAATTTAAATTACCCAGTTTTTGCTAGAGGATAATTGTGATGGTGAATCTTGCAGCCTTTTCAGAAAGCACCATCCTCTCTACAGCAAGTTCAACATTTCTGGCAACGAAAATAAAGTTCACTCCACCAAACAATGTTTGTAGAGTCGAAAGCTTTGACGGTGCTTAAGATAGAGCAGCTGAGCAAATTATCACAGCTTATCTGACAACAGAGGCCAAAAGCTCTGATGGAAAAGTAACCCATTATGTGTCTGTGCAAAGTCTTTGCCAGCAGCAATTACATTTAAAATNTGTTCATAGATTGAGAGGCAATCTGAGGCAGTGCAAGTGTGTGTTTGTGTGTGCGAGAGGCATCTGAAACATATTCTCCCCTCCACAACAGGAAGTGAGGTGGCAGTTTGAAAATGTCAGTATGGCCATCAGCTCTCACAATAACCATGACTGTTGCTTAATTGGGTGATTTACTGCCAGTTTTTCTCTAATCAGCAAACTTTCATAGTATTGACATGTAGTTACCTTAGTCTGATCTACATATCAGGTGTGTATGCTGATGATCAATGTTTAAAAAGTGAAACCAAAAAGAGATGATTAAATTTATCTTTAGGGACAAGGATCTTAGGGAATGCAATCATACAGAGAGGAAATAAAGGATCTTCAATAATGCTCCTTTGTGCACCTGCTTTGCAACACTGTCACTGAAGGAGTTGTCCAGTTGAGCAACAGATTCATGTATAAGGGTGAGGGTGTTACAGCCATTAGTGATTTAGTTTTAGCCAGGGTCGTCCTGTCTTCGACCCCCTGCACTGACATGCTGTTGCTGTGTGTTTCTGCAGGAAGATGCCTCTAACATCACCATTCTGGGTCTGCTCCTGGAGTGCAGTTTCCCAAAGAGTTTACTGAACAGTCCTCAGGTACTCCTCGTTTTCTCAGCCTGTCAGTGTTATTTTGCTTTTTATAAGCCAATGTCTCACAACTCAGGGAAGCTTTACATTAAAATTTTGTTTTGAATTTTACAAACTAAATGTTGTTTTACATTGAAGCAGGAATATAAAGCAGAAAAAAATTTACTTTTTCCATTTGACTTGACAAGAGAGCCAGATTCTCTAAAGCTTTGGCTGGATTACTTACCATTAGATTTTCTCTCTTACTCCTTGGCGTACTTGGATCTCTTTCCAAACATTTAATTGTTTTGTTAAGAGACACTATACTGTAATTACTAAAGAACTCCCTGTACTCATTATACAACTCTTAAAAGCAAGACTTCTTAAATGTTACCATTACTGTACTGCCGTAATGGTACCTTTCAAATGTCTCTCCTAAAAGACTAGTAAGTCTATGGGTCCATGAGTCGTCATGGCAGTTCAGGGGTTAAAACAGCTTCAGCTTCTTTTTTTTTTTTCATGATGTTGCAGTTTGCTATTTTTTGAACCGGATAAAAGCCAGACCATTTTATAATCTTTATCATTAATTTAGGAAATTTGTTGTTGTGTTTTCTTTGATAACAGCAACAGTCTTGAATGACTGTAATTATTGATTGAATAATTAATGTTGTTGTTAGAGCATCAATACAAATTTGATGTGAGGTTTAATGTTTTCATTGCAAGAATTGAAACATGTATATTTTGTACACCCAGAACATTTCCATGACTTTATTTGATATAGTTAACTTTTTTGCTTTGACTTGCTGGCTTGTTGGTCTCCTCTCCTGCACTGCACACCAATCTTCCCTTATCTCAGATATCTTTCTGGTAAGAAGTGTCCCCATACCAGTTTATTCCACACCGAGTACGAGTACCTCAGTTTATGTTGTCACCAATACCGATATTTAGCAAATTGGCATGTATGTATATATTTTTATTTACCTTATTTTATTTCTTTATTTTGAACATGATAGCATAAAATAAGAAACATAAGGAATGGAAGAGACATATTTTTGTAGCCACAGTAATCTTGACGTGTTCAAAAAGGAGTAGTATGGGCTCCTACCACACAAAGTTATACTGTGTTTTTGGATGGAACCTCGTTATTAGATCAAAAAAGGAAAACATTATCGTACGTAGAAGTTACACAATTTAATAGTAAGAATCTTTGACACTATAGATATGTTATAGTTTTGAGTCTAAATAAATTAGCAGATTAGCAAATATATGCCACTAAATATAAACACCATTTACTCCAAGTCCCTATATTCATCTATACATAAATACACACATTTACTATATAAATTTATGTCCACCCTTGTATAATCTTAGTTCACACAGTAACGTTTAAAAACAAATTAAATTAATTTACAACAGGGTGACTCCTCTTCTTTTTAAGCCTATGGTCTCTCTGACTGTTTTAACAAATCCTAAATAGAGCAACACAAATTTAGTCTTAACCTTCAGCTTTGCTGAAGGTTGTGCACACCACATACCTCACCTGTTTGGACTGGTGGCACTAGCTGCTTTTCCATTATAAATGTGTACAAATCTTTATCTATATTCTACTATTGTCAAAAAAAAAACAAAAAACTCCACGCCACAGACCGGTACCAGTCCATGGACCAATTGGTACTGGGCTGCACAAGAAAAAAAAAATAGATTTCTGTTTTATGCATTATCTGAGTCTGGAGGATCTTTTATTTTGAAAATCCTTTAACCGAATTTTCTCGGTTATGTCTTACGTGCTAACATTGAGCCACAAGCAGCAAAGTGAGTAAGAAACAGATCAGATGTCTTTGGAAAGTTTCTTTGCAAAGGGGAAAAGGCCCAGAGAAGAGATAGGAGAATGATTTATCCCGTACCGGTAGGTGATTCCCATATTCCAAGCCCACTCTACATGTTATGCGGCGACCAGCTTGCTAATGAGGAAATGAAGCTTCAAAACTACTTCGCTATCTAGAGATCAAGCACTCTGTGCATTTAAGCAACACACTTTGGATGTTATTGTCTCCCATCACTCATAGATGGGACTGTCTTGTTGCAGAGAAACAAGCTCAGGGCTCCCATTGATTTGTCATGAGTTAAAATTTTCATGGAAGTAAAATGTTTGTTTTTGTGGTGCCTCTGTATCTTATTTTGAAGGGATGTGTTAATGTTGCCAAAGCGACCAGAGTCAGAGAGTGTTAGGGCAGTGGTCGAGATGAAAGGAGTAGAGCTTGTGAATCTTAAGTCTGGTTCACACGACACAATTTAAGAATTGTCAGCCGATTTTCCAAATCTCTGTGACAACAGAGCTGATAAAAGTACAACAGGTTTAATCGAACTGATTTCACTCACGAACATCCCGATTCCAGAAGAAAATCTAGTAAGACCCCCAACATACCATATATGAATTTAGAATAAACAAACTCGGATGACGATGTAGAAGCAGTAGTGATAGTTTGCGGACTCAAAGAGCTGCCTTGAACGGCCCTCGCAGCTTAGCGCCGCTCCGGCCTATTGGCCACCGCAGGGGTTCCAGCACCGCCACACGCCAGCCACCGCAGACGCTCTCGTGTGGCTCCCGCGCTCGTCCTCCAGGCGATATGCATTGATGCGTTCGGCAGCGCTCCCCAGCGATGCACAAAAAATCTGGTGCAGTTTGGGCCATGCAGCAAGGAGATACAGCTCTTTGATTAACCTAGTGGGCGCAGTGGAGTCAAATTACAATGTAATGCTATTGGGCTCTTTAGAGGTTCACCAGAGTCAATCATAAAAAGTCTGGTGCAAATCGGATGATGCATGTGTGAATTAGAGACGATCGTAGACATATGGCGAGCATTGCTATTCGCTATTTAGCCACGCCCACATGGTTCAGCCAGCAGCCAACATTCACAGAGTTCAACATCATGTAATTTTATATCAGTTGGCACAGGATTGATCCCATTTGAATCATGGAGTAATAGTACAACATCCAGCAGAAAAGAACAGGTGACTTCCTTTTGGAGGGGGTCGGGGCTTAGGTGATGTCATCAATTCACCATGTTAATGTGATCAAGGCTGGTCTATAATGAGACATGGA